GTGTGTTGACGCTGTGGTATATTTGTTGCTGCGTGTTGACGCTGTGGTATATTTGTTCCTTCGTGTTAACGCTATGTCATATTTGTTGCTGCGTGTTGACGCTGTGTTATATTTATTCCTGCGTGTTGACCCCGTGGTATATTTTGTACATGTGTGTTGACGTTGTGGTATATTTGTTCCTGTGTGTTGATGCTGTTGTATATTTTGTACATGTGTATTGACGGTGTGTTATATTTTTCACTTGTTTGTTGACGTTGTGGTATATTTGTTCCTGTGTGTTGACGCTGTTGTATATGTTGTACATGTGTATTGACGGTGTGTTATATTTTTCTCTTGTTTGTTGACGTTGTGGTATATTTGTTCCTTCGCGTTGACGCTGTGTTATATTTGTTCCTGTGTGTTGACGCTGTGTTATATTTGTTCCTGCGTGTTGACGCTGTGGTATATTTGTTCCTGTGTGTTGACGCTGTGGTATATTTGTTCCTGTGTGTTGACGCTGTTGTATATTTGTTGCTGCGTGTTGACGCTGTGGTATATTTGTTCCTGTGTGTTGACGCTGTGTTATATTTGTTCCTGCGTGTTGACGCTGTGTTATATTGTGTTCTTGTAAGTTGACGCTGTGGTATATTTGTTCCTGCGTGTTGACTCCGTGGTATATTTTGTACATGTGTGTTGACGGTGTGTTATATTTTTCACTTCTTTGTTGACGTTGTGGTATATTTGTTCCTGTGTGTTGACGCTGTGTTATATTTGTTCCTGCGTGTTGACCCCGTGGTTTATTTTGTACATGTGTGTTGACGTTGTGGTATATTTGTTCCTGTGTGTTGACGCTGTGTTATATTTGTTCCTGCGTGTTGACGCTGTGGTATATTTTTTCCTGCGTGTTGACGCTGTGGTATATTTGTTCTTGTAAGTTGACGCTGTGGTATATTTTGTACATGTTTATTGACGCTGTGTTATATTTTTCACTTGTTTGTTGACACTTTTGTAGATTTTATACATTGTGTTGACTGGTAGATTTTGTACATGTGTGTTGACGTTACGGTAGATTTTGTACATGTGTGTTGACGTTATGGTAGATTTTGTACATGTGTGTTGACTGGTAGATTTTGTACATGTGTGTTGACGTAATGTTAGATTTTGTACATGTGTGTTGACTGGTAGATTTTGTACATGGGTTTTGACGTTATGGTAGATTCTATACATGTGTGTTGATGTTACAGTAGATTTTATACATGTACAAAATCTACTATAACGTCAACAAACATGTACAAAATCTATCGTAAAGTCAACACACATGTACAAATTCTACCAGTCAACACACATGTACAAATTCTACCAGTCAACACACAAGTACAAAATCTAACATTACGTCACCACACATGTATAAAATCTAACATAACGTCAACACACACGTACAAAATCTACCATATCGACAACACACATGTACAAATTCTACCAGTCAACACACAGGAACAAATATGCCACAGCGTCAACACACAGGAAAAAATATTCAAGAACGCCAACTACCATAACGTCAACACTCAACACACAGGAACAAATATCCCACAGCGTCAACACACAGTAACGTCAACACACATATACAAAATCTACCATAACCTCAACACACAAGTACAAAATCTAACATTACGTCACCACACATGTACAAAATCTAACATAACGTCAACACACACGTACAAAATCTACCATATCGACAACACACATGTACAAAAACTACCATAACGTCAACACTCAACACACAGGAACAAATATCCCACAGCGTCAACACACAGTAACGTCAACACACATGTATAAACTCTACCATAGCCTTAATCCACATGTACAAAATCTACCGCAACGTCAACACATATGTACAAAATCTACCATATCGACAACACACATGTACAAATCTTCCAGAACGTCAACACACATGCACAAAATCTACCGTAACATCAACACACATGTATAAAACCTACCATAACCTTAACACACATGTTCAAAATCTACCGTAACGCCAACACATATGTACAAAATCTGCCATAACGTCAACACACAAGTACAAAATCTACCAGTCTACACACATGTACAAAATTTACCGTAACGGCAACACACATGTACAAATCTTCCAGAACGTCAACACACATATACAAAATCTACCATAACCTCAACACACAAGTACAAAATCTAACATTACGTCACCACACATGTACAAAATCTAACATTACGTCACCACACATGTATAAAATCTACCAAAACGTATAGATACAAAACACGTTACGGTAGATTTTGTACATGGGTGTTGACGTTATGGTATGTTTTGTCTTAACATGTTGACGCTGAGGTATATTTCATCCCTGTGTGTTGACGTTATGGCAGATTTTGTACATATGTCTTGACTGGTAGATTTTGTACATGGGTTTTGACGTTATGGTATATTTTGTACATGTGTATATTTGTTCCTGCGTGTTGACTCCGTGGTATATTTTGTACATGTGTATATTTGTTCCTGCGTGTTGACGCTGTGTTATATTTGTACCTGTGTGTTGACGTTATGTTAGATTTTATACATGTGTGTTGACGTTATGGTAGATTTTATACATGTGTGTTGATGTTACAGTAGATTTTATACATGTGTGTTGACGTTTTGGTAGATTTTGTACATGTGGATTAAGGCTATGGTAGATTTTATACATGTGTGTTGACGTTACGGTAGATTTTGAACATGTGTGTTAAGGTTATGGTAGATTTTATACATGTGTGTTGACGTTACGGTAGATTTTGAACATGTGTGTTAAGGTTATGGTAGATTTTATACATGTGTGTTGACGTTACGGTAGATTTTGAACATGTGTGTTAAGGTTATGGTAGATTTTATACATGTGTGTTGACGTTACGGTAGATTTTGAACATGTGTGTTAAGGTTATGGTAGATTTTATACATGTGTGTTGACGTTACGGTAGATTTTGAACATGTGTGTTAAGGTTATGGTAGATTTTATACATGTGTGTTGACGTTACGGTAGATTTTGAACATGTGTGTTAAGGTTATGGTAGATTTTATACATGTGTGTTGACGTTACGGTAGATTTTGAACATGTGTGTTAAGGTTATGGTAGATTTTATACATGTGTGTTGACGTTACGGTAGATTTTGAACATGTGTGTTAAGGTTATGGTAGATTTTATACATGTGTGTTGACGTTACGGTAGATTTTGAACATGTGTGTTAAGGTTATGGTAGATTTTATACATGTGTGTTGACGTTACGGTAGATTTTGAACATGTGTGTTAAGGTTATGGTAGATTTTATACATGTGTGTTGACGTTACGGTAGATTTTGAACATGTGTGTTAAGGTTATGGTAGATTTTATACATGTGTGTTGACGTTACGGTAGATTTTGAACATGTGTGTTAAGGTTATGGTAGATTTTATACATGTGTGTTGACGTTACGGTAGATTTTGAACATGTGTGTTAAGGTTATGGTAGATTTTATACATGTGTGTTGACGTTACGGTAGATTTTGAACATGTGTGTTAAGGTTATGGTAGATTTTATACATGTGTGTTGACGTTACGGTAGATTTTGAACATGTGTGTTAAGGTTATGGTAGATTTTATACATGTGTGTTGACGTTACGGTAGATTTTGAACATGTGTGTTAAGGTTATGGTAGATTTTATACATGTGTGTTGACGTTACGGTAGATTTTGAACATGTGTGTTAAGGTTATGGTAGATTTTATACATGTGTGTTGACGTTACGGTAGATTTTGAACATGTGTGTTAAGGTTATGGTAGATTTTATACATGTGTGTTGACGTTACGGTAGATTTTGAACATGTGTGTTAAGGTTATGGTAGATTTTATACATGTGTGTTGACGTTACGGTAGATTTTGAACATGTGTGTTAAGGTTATGGTAGATTTTATACATGTATGTTGACGTTACGGTAGATTTTGAACATGTGTGTTAAGGTTATGGTAGATTTTATACATGTGTGTTGACGTTACGGTAGATTTTATACATTTGTGTTGACGTTATGGTAGATTTTAAACATATGTGTTGACGTTACGGTAGATCGTTTACATTTGTGTTGACGTTACGGTAGATTTTATACATGTGTGTTGACGTTATGGTAGATTTTTTACATGTGTGTTAACGTTACTGTAGATTTTATACATGTGTGTTGACGTTACTGTAGATTTTATACATGTGTGTTGACGTTACGGTAGATTTTATACATGTGTGTTGACGTTACGGTAGATTTTATACATGTGTGTTAACGTTACGGTAGATTTGCATCTGTGTGGTATGTTTTTTTGTTATTTTCAAATTATCACCTCGGCCTCACGAGAAAGATTATATAAAACCACTTCACATAAGCATACAACTAAATAGATCAGTAGTGACAGACCTAGAAATACTATACCTTGACTAGCATGGATAGTTAGGTTTACAAAGCGTACGCCTTCTTTAGGACTTTTTAATGCCAGAATATTTTACTTTAATTAATTTCACTTTGTAGTGTATTGTTGGAATTCTATAATGTAGTTGTTGTTGTCTACAAAGAACTTATAAACCTATGAGGTTTATTCAAACATTGACGTGCATTTCAGCTAGAGAGCGTTTCAATGGGACTTAAATAGCCGGTAACAGCCATCTGAAATGCGTGTAAAGGGATTGGTCAGCTTTCATTTCGATCGATATTGAATTCTCGTCAGTTTGGCTGTGACTTGAATTAAAGCATGTTTCGTACAGAAGTTATGTACGTGTATAACCAGGGTCGTACTTATGTCGTAACATCATTCAGAGGACAGAGTCATCGTTTCATTAAATAAGAAGTCCTGGGAAAAAATGAAATATAATGAAGCTGACAATACTTATATGATTGCTATATTTTTAAACACGTATTCAACTAACTTTACAAAACAAGACCTATTTTTGATCACCAGAATAACTGACGATGTTCACAATTAAACGCTATCCTTTTTATTCAGACAACTTGTTTCTTACCTAAAAAGCTTCCTGACAGCGTAAAGTCGTGGATTATAGATTGGTTTCGTGTCGGACTATAATAGAATAGAATATATATACTAGCCTTCCATGTTTGGTCAACATGGTTGTTTTCACACCTTGTGTAGGTGGTCTATATTGAGATTTTCAAACTGTCACTGATTTTGACAAATCGACAGAAGCTTGAGAACTTTTTGAGATAATATAGAATTGTGCTTCTCCCAAAGGAATAAAAACGGAATCAGCTTACGACATCTATACACGCACAGGTAAGTGTTATTTGTTGTAAACATATAATATAACTAAATCTACTAAATCCAAATATAATTCTTAATTAATGTTTTTTTTTGCTTGAGAGTAATGTTGTATATTGGTTTTATTACATGTACTTATATTTTGATTTTCGGTCTGAAAGCGTTTTAAAGATAGATTTGACCCCAAATAGAAAACACCTCAATATATCTACTTTTACCACGCAGAAGACACAGACTGTAGCATTTGTCTGCTTTGGAATAAAATAATAAAACAGTTCTTAACGTTTTAAAATAAGCACAACTAATGTAATAAATTTGTAACTAAGTATAATTATTTATGACAAATCTATAGCTAAGTATAATTATGTATGGTACATAATGTAAATTTGTAACTAAATATAAGTATGTATGATAAGTTTTTTGACTAATTATTATAATATGTGATAAAGTATTAAGTAAATTTAATTAAAGGTGTTAAGTTGGAATTACGTTATCAAAGTTTTTATCACCACAGTGTAACGTAATAATTACTACAGGTAGTAACAAACCTAAATCATATGTGTGGCGCTATACATAAGTAAACACTGGATATCTATATACCTAGATAAATATATTTACCTATGATTACTTTCGATATTTGCACATTTATGGACGAGTAATATTTCTGACATTCAAATGAAGGATATTCACTAAATATGTGACTGACCTCAAAGTTTTGTGTCAATGTAAAGTGATATGGGATCATAATTAATATGTAGGTATATCGTATATATATGCCGAAGTGGAATCCCTCTTTCAAAAGCCTCTTTGTTGTGATAGAGGCAGTCTATATCATACGTACACACTGACGCGATTCACTACCTCGTAATAAAATGTACGTATTGTGAGGACTCGGTAGAGTGTATAGACGATGAAAGACGCGGAAAGAAAAAGTTTAAATAAATTACCTTTGAAAGTGTGACGTCATGTCACCCAGGTCAACAAAAGTCTGGGTTTAGATTTTAAATATAGTACACGATGGATTGTACGGCCTTCTAACATTCTTATCAAACGTGCATACTTACATCCTTAGCAGAAGTGCATTAAATTGTGATTAACTGGAGGACATCCATTTGTTATCGGTAAGTATGTGGGGGTTTATATGTACCAAGGTGGAACGTATACGTTTACCTGAGTAAGGGAATCATACTACATGTGATACAAGGTTCTGCACTTCACACTGTAATGCATCACCCCAGGACCAGGAGTAGCACTCCTTTTGAGCTGGTTGGTATCCAGTGATGGGTTCGAAACATTTCACGTCATGGTAACGTGACGTCATTATTCCCTCCTCGACGTCGATTTGTCCGTCATTACTTTTAGGTTCAAGTTTTCGGAGTTCACGCTAAATATGGGGTAATGGTGAGTTATGTTTTACAGAAAATATAATGTGCTTGTAGGCAATAAAATCAACACTATACCACCTATACAGATGTTCATCTAACGTCCCGGATTACAACAGTACATTACTCGTATGGAGATATTTCACGAGGGCTTTAACGTCTATTTATGAATGAAGATATATTTCACAAGGGCTTTAATGCCTAGATATTGAAAATGTCTGTGCAATATCATACAGTGATACTGCACCGGTACTATTTAACTGAAAACGTGTTTTGTATCTATGAGGCATATTCTGTGTTTATATGATAGCCGATATATTGAACAAGTGTACATACATGTCTAGTCTGTATAGAAATGTAACTTGGACATGTAATGTATTCCATAGATATAGTACATTATTTTGAAACGTTTAACGTTAAAATCAAGAAAAGAAATGTATTTTTTATCACAATTCATAATACATTAATGGTCTGTATCGAATTCAATGATATCTGGAAGTTTTTTTAAATGTGGTCGTAGCCGACCTTGGTCCCATTGATCGATTTATACGAGGCGTTGGTCTTTGGATGAGAATGAGGATAAGGTACGCTATAGTCTCGTGCCATATCCCTTACCAATCTTTTGATGTGAATGGGGATAATCTTTAAGGTACACTATAATTCCGTGCCATCCCTTACTAATCTGTTGATGAGAATGAGAATAAGGTACGCTATAGTCCCGTGCCACCCCTTACGAATCTTTTGATGAGAATGAGGATAAGGTACGTTAGTTCCTTGCCATCCCTTACTTTACGTCAGTATAACTACTAGAATAAACATTGTACAAAGGACAGGTAGAGTGACACGTATACATGCTACTGAGTTAATGTACCTTATACATTGTAACTCAACGTTATAGTTCAACGGACATCTGCAAAACAAGTACTGTACACGTAACTGTCAAAAACAGGCACTTGTATGTTTCTCTATAGCTGAGTACTCTGCCACGGAGTGGTGAACGATAATTTTAACTTGTAAAGGGGGAGAGGTGATACAGACTACAACCTCGTTGGTCAATACACCTAAAATATAAACAAGATTATAGGTATATTGACAGTTACTGGATCAAAGCAAACAGATCGTTGCATCATGTGTCTTACTTAATTTAGTAATCAAGCAGATAAATATCAGCGACAGTACAGACAATGAAATTCAGAAGGAACTATTTTCTTCTGTTTTATATTTTGTAGTATGTAGTATTGTGCGGATTGCCTCGATATTTTGATAATTAAATTGTCCTCTCAACATATCAGGAAAAGTCTGTCTTAATTCTTGTGTTCCTTTGCGCAAAACTACACTAAACATATTATACGCGTTTTGTGTTAGAGTTAACTCCCTTTGTACGTTTTACATTGTAGGTTTTTTGTTTTGTTTCAATTATGTCACTAAATAATGAACAAAGTTGAAATAGAACAATTATATCACTTCCTGACACACACACTTTACAAAGATTATCATCATCTAATGAACCGAAACTTTTGCGCGATTTGGCATCCTTTTTTTTTAAATTAGGAAGGCAGGCTAGCAACATTATGCTTATATATACTAGTTATTATATATTTGTTTGTGTTGTGTTTATTTGCAGTTCGACTAACGTCATGTAATCTTGTTTGGATGTAAAATGCAATAAAGTAAAATTGAACTGAATCAGTTATATTATTTATCACATACCTGTTGAATCTTGTTATTGTAATACAACGTTCTGTATTGCACATGTGCAATACGGAATGTTGTACATGTATTTACCTATTAGCCGGAATTACTTTTTATGGGAATCCCCTTGTCATGGCGAACTAAAAAGTTCCCGGTACTTGCAAAAAATATCAAAGTTTATAAAATCTTTGTATCGATCTCTACCAAATACGGAAGGTATGTGATAAAAGCAAGACCACATACTTGTGTTTTTCTAACGAATCAGAAAAGCACTCATTTATTGCGCGGACGTGTGTGGTCTTGCATATATATTACATTTAATTAACGTGGAACTCTATCGTAAAGAAGACACAGGTTTGTATAATTGTATAGTATACATATCCTTAACTCATTTACAGATGTAATAAACTTGATTATGAATATACTTTATAACTGTGTTGCTGTGTATCACTTCAGGTTTGACGCGGACGTCGGTTATTGTGATAAGGAGCTATGCCACGCCAGAACGTGTAACAATATGGCCTCTGTTAATACAGCGAACTTGGACGAAGTATTTAAATACTTGAGAGAAAATAAACCAATTACTTCGGACCTTATCAAAAAGTCGTCAGCTGATTATGAAAACATAAAGGTAAGATACATTATGATAATTGACTTTTAGTTAAATTCTTATAAACCACTTACATTTTCTGAAAGCATTAATATTTCTTCTAATTACATATGTATCTATTTTATAGAGTAAAGTCCCCCGGGGAATCGATCTCTTCATAAGCAATTATAAACGAGATATATATACTGTAAAAGTACTTGTTTTAGACTCGCATTTTCATGCGCAATGATGACAGTTTTCAAATTACTTGCGTGATGATTAAGCATACATGTACATATAGTATGCATTACTTAACACAGAAGTTTCATCTCGTCAGCTATCACGATTTAGCGTTTAAGATATTTGCACGAAAAATGCTGAAATATCATTCGAATAAAGCTTTTTTCGGAATATATCGTTTGAAGCAAAACTGATAACGATTTGCTAATATGAAGTGTGTTGACAATGCTGGGGACTGGTTATAGCGAGCAAGGGAAGTAACTAGGATGAAAATATTAGTAGAAATATGTTTTTATCATTACGACACTACAGGTAGTTCTGCGAAATGTAGAAGAGAAGAAGACTGATGGACAGAAGCCAGACCCGGGGAGCGATGTGTACAAGTGTCCTCTGTGTCAGAAGGACATCCCCTACCCTGCCCCGCCCACAAACAAGAATCAGGAGGAAATCGATAGACTAACACAGGAACTAGGTATTTAAATCATCTTAACTTTGGGGCGAGCATATTTTGATATACATACCATGTTAAACATTTTCTTTAAATTACTTTTTTTTTTAGTTTGATAAAAAGCTACGGTTCAGCGACAGTTCCTGTTCCATTAGGCCAAACCATTCGTTGGTCGGAAACAAAACGATGTCTGGGACTAACAATAATTCGCTATAATACAAAATGTAGACAAAGGTACATATATGGTTGCACATTTCTGCATGATCAGTTATGATTTATCTAGTACAGACGAATACGAATAGTTGATTCCACTCTATCAGTACACGTCTGTCGATTGGTATTGTTAGACGCTAGGACCCGCCAATGTCAGCAGATGGAGCAACACATCGCTACACAGGATCAGAAAATGGCGAAGCTGAGACAGACCAGCGGTCACAGAAGGTAATAAATGATTCAGTACATATACAATGTATCACAGAAGGTAATACATGATTCAGAACATATTCAATATATCACAGAAGGTAATACATAATTCATTACATATACAATATATCACAGAAGGTAATACATGATTCAGAACATATACAATATATCACAAAAGGTAAAACATGATTCAGTACATATACAATATATCACAGAAGGTAATACATGATTCAGTACATATACAATATATCACAGAAGGTAATACATAATTCAGTATATATATAATATATCACAGAAGGTAATACATAATTCATTACATATACAATATATCACAGAAGGTAATACATGATTCATTACATATTCAATATATCTCAGAAGGTAATACATGATTCAGTATATAAACAATAGATAACAGAAGGTCATACATGATTCAGTACATATAAAATATATTACAGAAGGTAATACATGATTCAGTACATAAACGATAGATAACAGAAGGTAATACATGATTCAGTACATATACAATATATCAAAGAAGGTAATACATAATTCAGTACATAAACAATATATCACAGAAGGTAATACATAATTTATTACATAAACAATATATCACAGAAGGTAATACATGGTTCAGTACATAAAAGATAGGTCACAGAAGGTAATACATGATTCAGTATATAAACGATAGATCAAAGAAGGTAATACATGATTCAGTATATAAACGATAGATAACAGAAGGAAATACATGATTCAGAATATAAACGATAGATCATAGAAGGTAATACATGCTTTAGTATATAAACAATATATCACAGAGGGTAACACATGATTCAGTACATATACAATATATCACAGAAGGTAATACATGATTCTGTACATACACAATATATCATAGAAGGTAATACATGATTCAGTACATATACAATATATCAAAGAAGGTAATACATGATTCAGTACATAAACAATATATCACAGAAGGTAATACATGAATCAGTATGTATACGATAGATCTCCGAAGGAAATACATGATTCAGTATAAAAACAATATATCACAGTATGTAATACATGGTTCAGTACATAGACGATAGGTCACAGAAGGTAATACATGATTCAGTATATAAACGATAGATCAAAGAAGGTAATACATGATCCAGTATATAAACGATAGATAACAGAAGGAAATACATGATTCAGAATATAAACGATAGATCATAGAATGTAATACACAATTCAGTACATTAAAGATAGGTCACAGAAGGTAACACATGATTCAGTACATATACAATATATCAAAGAAGGTAATACATGATTCTGTACATACACAATATATCATAGAAGGTAATACATGATTCAGTATATAAACGATACATCAAAGAAAGGTAATACATGATTCAGTATATAAACGATAGATAACAGAAGGTAATACATGAATCGGTACATTAACGATAGATCACAGAAGGTATTACATGATTCAGAACTTATACAATATATCAAAGAAGGTAATACATGATTCAGTATATAAACGATAGATAACAGAAGGTAATACATTACTCAGTATATCAACGATAGATAACAGAAGGTAAAACATAATTCAGAACATATGCAATATATCACAGAAGGTAATACATGATTCAGAATATAAACAAATAAACAATATATCACAGAAGGTAATACATGAATCAGTACATTAACGATAGATTACAGAAGGTTACACATAATTCAGAAAATATTCACATATCACAGAAGGTAATACATGATTCAGTACATATACAATATATCACAGAATGTAATACACAATTCAGTACATTAAAGATTGATAACAGAAGGTAATACATGATTTAGTATATAAACAATATATCACAGAGGGTAATACATGATTCTGTACATACACAATATATCATAGAAGGTAATACATGATTTAGTACATAAACGATAGATAACAGAAGGTAATGCATGATTCAGTATATAAACGATAGATAACAGAAGGTAATACAATACTCAGTATAGAAACGATAGATAAAAGAAGGTAATACATGATTCAGTAGATAAACGATAGATCACAGAAGGTAATACCTAATTCAGAACATATACAATATCACAGAAGGTAATACATGATTCAGAATATAAACAAATAAACAATATATCACAGAAGGTAATACATGAATCAGTACATTAACGATAGATCACAGAAGGTATTACATGATTCAGAACATATACAATATATCAAAGAAGGTAATACATGATTCAGTATATAAACTATAGATCACAGAAGGTATTACATGATTCAGAACATATACAATATATCAAAGAAGGTAATACATGATTCAGTATATAAATTAAAAAAAATGTATACCACATACGGTATTGCATGATTCAGTACATAAACAATAGATCACAAAAGGTAATACACGACCCACTACAGATACGGTATATCTAATGAGTTAATACATCAGTTAGTACATTAACGATAGATAACAGAAGTTTATAAAATACTGGTAATAAAGGTACTAGTAATAAATTTAATACCATACACTGTATACGAAGTCTCATAAGAGAAATACAAAGCCATGTAAAGAGTTCACGACTGCAGGTGTTCATATTGCACTGGATGTCTTAAGATGAACTTTAAATATGTTTGTAAATTTTTACTTTTTGTGAACATTATGAATAATTAAAAACTATATTATATTATAAAAGGTGAAAGCACGCTCTAACCTACCAAATGATGTCGTTTTATATTCAGCCCTGGTCCGCCACCGGCACGGGTAGTTGATCCCGGTGATCCCAATCGAGCCCAACAGGTCGGGGAGCAATATGAGGATCTATATGACACTGAGTGGACGGGCGCCTTCAAGTTCCTTGACAACACGATGAACCTGCGGGAGGATAAAGTCCTGGACACCCTCCTCAGGATCCTCAGGGTGGGTCGACGTCACAGGGTTCTGTCAGGTCTATTCCCGTTTGTTTTACCTTTCTTTGTTTCGCCATCGATTGCCGTTTGCTCAACAATACATGTATTACGTTTTTTTCAAGAAAATGTGGAAAACCGGAATACAACTGGGTATTTAACACCTGTTACTTGTTACTAGGGCGTAGAAGCTCATGTTTCATAATATGTTGTTCATTGGAAATATATCAACCATTTAGTCACACGAGCGTGACATGTACTGGTTCTAGAGTGTATGAGCAGATGAGTGTGATTTCGTTAATTAACTTAAACCTCAACGAACACAACTCTAATGCTATTGTGTTTATTTGTTTTAATAGGCCGCCTACTCTTTTTGTGACGATATCGCTCGAGCTCAAATGATGAACATGGAGGGAGAGCTGTACTGCCCCTTGTCTACCGTAAGTGAACAGTGTAACATAGTCATGTTGTTAAAGTGAACGAAATAGACAACCTTTGTTACACATTCGACATCATTCCACTTTACTCCACAGCATTGTGCTTAAATCATAATAATTATTGTTACTAATACAGAAACTCTAATCCGGTATATATTTATCATTGCTTCTTACAAACACTCTTATATTTTTATTTATACGGTATAAGTCAGGATTAAAGACATCTCAAAAGTCGTGTCCTAGACAAGCAGACGTGGTATCAATTCCTAGTCACGTGCTATCGTCTCACACGAGTTTCCTTTTCCTGGATGTATTATATCAATATTTAGACACATGATTTCGGTAAGTCGGTATACAATGGTAAACTCAATTGGACAAATAATACGACATCTAGTGCCAAAGAATCAGGTTTATCCTTGACTGTATGTTGTCCTATTTTACTGAGTCGAAAGGATTTAACTTCACGTGAGAATCACGTTAACACCTAACAAGTGCATTGTTTTGTTGTACAGTGGACAGAGGACGCTCGTGTAGACTTTATTGGCAGAAAAACAACATTTCCTCAAAAATCAGCAAGAATAGCCCACACTTACCGGAAGTCAACGTCAGCGGAGTGTGTACCGGCCATTCAAAACGTATGTCAGGGGAGTAGACAGTGGGTTAAAGGTACAAAATGTACTGGGATCATGATTAAACATGTCGCGCGGATAATAAAAAATATTCTATAACATTAATGTCGAACATTCTGTAAATGTCAAATGTTTCATGAAGTTTACGTCAATCTTGGTTTAAACTTTGTTTTATTCAAATTATGTTTGACAATACATCGAAGTACATGTTTTATAGAACGGAAAAGGAAATAAAAACAAGTGTCGTGACACTTATGTAAATTTGTTACCTGCTTAATAATCAATATTTCAACACTAGCTACACGAATGAAGTAATATGTACAACAGAACAATTACGGGAATAGGGGAGGGGGTAATGTATCGGGACGCAGTAGAATCCAGGAATGAATAACATATCAATATACATAGGATCATCAGATGGTAATATCATATTGATATATTGCAATGAGTATGTGGAACACGATTCTGTAAAATATAACTCAATCTTGTAATTGATTAAATGTCAACTTATTGTTGAGACAATTTAAGGTCCAAACTTGACCTTAAGTGAAGGTCTGTATTTTTTCCCCACTGGGCTACAGAAATTGGTATCAGGAAAACTGATGTGAATTTTCATTAAAGGGACTATTTCCATCTATGTTAGATTTACATAGATCTGCCTATAGTTGAACATTATAGTCAGGAAGCTGCGGACCCTTCAAAGGAAAAAGGACAGACGGATAGGATGACGCCAAGCATTCCGCCGAAATTCGATGTATAAATGACATTGTCTGACATTTTATTATTCATCTGATATTTTGTAGGCCTTCATTGCTCAGATCCTGCCCGAGTTTATGGACCCGACGTTATACAACAACCGACATGTTCTGTCATACGTCAAACGCTGCGTGGAGATCACGTGGTATATGGTCATTCAGGAAACGCCAATGGTGCTCATCAGCAAAGTCAACCGGAAGTCACAATTTGACAGGAATCTCTTCCGGTATTATTCCAACCAAGGGGATAAATTTGACTTTGTTGTTTGGCCAGCTCTTTTGATGTACACAGAGGGACCAATAATCATAAAAGGATTTGCATATGCTTTGGATCCGAACCGAAGCATTCCGAATGTTAGAGAAACCGAAATGGAAACTAATCGTATTCCTCCCAAGGGGAAAGAAAACATGGTGGGTTCAGAATTGAACCAGGGTCTTGCTGGTGGAACGCCATGGGGGTCAAACTATTTTTCAAACGCAGGCACCCCTTCCGTTGACCTTCCTCCACTTCCGTTAGAAAACGTGAGTCCCACGCGCGTCAGCCCTGGGCGGGCGTCTCGTGAAGAACAAAGACAGCTTACTGCAGCATGGAAAGGGAAGGAAAAGCCTACGGCCCGACCTTAAGCTATGGCTACACGGAAGGACAAGAATCAGCAAAAGGCAAAAGAAAAACATTATTGCAAGCCAAGCGCAAATCCGAGAACTACACAATATCAACTGTTTGTCTTTAATTTGTTTTACTGATTTTTTTTGTTGCAAAATTAAATGGAGTCTCGCACTACTGCATGAACCAGGTTATGTATGACACACGCCCTCTAATCCACAACGTAGACTGTCAGGTTCGTCCAGGCAATTATCCATTTCATGAATAGAACAAACATATGCTTAGTTTTGCTTCTGCAAATTTTATCCTATCACACTTTTAAAATCATTTTCCAAAATACTACACATGAGATTTTGTATCCAGCACCGTTGACATATATATGCATCAATGATATTTGATAAGTAGCTTACTTTTACAAAAAAAAAGCAATCAAAATGTCATATCATTATTGATCCAAGAAAGGCATAATCTCATAAATCCCGGATTAATAATTGTATTGCATAGTCAATATAATACAGGGTAGTTATGTTATATGGAGCAGTCTATTCATCAGAAACGTAAATGTACACCTGTAAGATATTTGATATATCAGAAATTTTAAAAGCAATAATTTCAAAGTTCCAAATATTAATGTCACATGAATCAGAAATTTAACAGAAATGAATCTTTAATATGTCATACAATAATGTGCATGTACTTGATTCGTGTACTTAAAATATGTGGAATTTTTAATCCGGCTTTTCTATATTGTTATTTTATTGTAAATATATTGTTTGTAAAGAAAAAAATTGAATGAATTCACACTCCAGACACAAAACTCATTCATTTACCTTTACTTTCCGAAAATTTACAGAAAATCGTTTTTGCCAGTGATGTGTCCATTCATCTCCCCTCACGCTCTATCGCTATGCATGAGCTAGGGAATGTTAAGTTGATGTCTGGGTATGCCATATTATCAAAATATTTCATTTTGACGAACTCGCTGAGCCACAATTCATGTTATGTATGTGTTTACAAAATTGTTGAACTTTAGACAACTTATGCTGCCAACAAAATGTTTGTTCCAAAAGTAAAAAAAAAAACAATTACAAGTGAAACAGAAATCAAAAAACAAGATTTATAGTATTTCGGATTAGACCTACACTGAGGTAAGTAGTGAACATTAAATATTTTACTATCCATTGATTTTGTCGATATACTGATCCTGTTTTGATTTTAGAGGTCAGCAAGACCTGCTACAGCTAGAGGGAAAAGGAGAAAATAAGTAAAAACAAATACAAACAAAATTCGAGTGAACAACAAAAGCGAGGTTATAAAATATAAGAAATAGAAAGTGATAGGTCGGAGCCGCCTTGAGCTAGTGCACCGCTAACTAAAACCTACCACCAACACAGACATATATTGGGAGACTCGAGTCAGAGGACACAGAATGAAACTTTAATCCAGAGACAGAGACAACCTTCTCATCTACAGTGTATTTTTTAGCGAGATGCCAATATATAATGGTCTTACGGGGCCATATCATCTTTAAATCTTTACTGTTCCGCAGTATGTATTTGCTTGTATCCAGGAGAGCTGACTGTGGTGATCGTTAAATATCCAAACTGGTTTGAGCGCAAATCGGTAACATTCATCACAGGTACCTATTGCGAACAGGAATGAGAGATATGCACGAAGTATTAGTGCAGTAGTATTTTGTTTCCTATCCGCGATAAGTACATGTACCTGTGTGTCCGTATTGCATATAGCCCTAATACAGTGCGGAAGGTTGAAGCGCGGATGTAAATATGTCTTTATAAGTGTTCTAGTATTGGACAATCTCTTTCTAATTACACGCGACACACAAATGAGCTGTCATCATGTCAAATTAACACCTATACAATGTACTTTTAGCTGTTACTTGTACTACTGCTGTGTTCTACTGACAGTGTTGCCTTCGTGGCAGTGTCCTTGTTGTGAGGTTTTGTATGTAGGTTTTCATCTAGAACGCAATGACTCTGTAGCGTTGTTTCATTTCATATACTGATACACTATGTATGAAATCACAATTACGATCTCGTCAACACTCGGTCTATTATATTCACGGCATATATGAAATCTTTAGATAAGATACCAACCAGAAAGAATCTTATTAACCAATAACAGTACGAACTGTTGCGCGTGAATGGGTTTGTTTACAATCGGAAATGACATAATGTAATCTAGGGACTGTATTATGAAATGTAAATATATTGAAATTCAACGATTTGTAACTTATTTCTTGGCTGGAATAATGCCAACAATAATGTTTCACAATACTCAAAAATAACATATTTCATTTCACACGGTGTTTTGAATTTTAAATAATCGTATTTGTTTTTGTAATCAAAAGAATATACATATTATGGTGAAGTCAACAATTAATGAAATATAGAAAATTTAGACAAAAACCATAAAAATATCAGTTAAGATATGTAAATGAAGAGAGTGCTACGTGATTAAATTTCCAATGTCGGACGTAGAATCTGAAGTCGCTTACGGTGAACAGCGAGAAAATACTGATTGGGGAAATGTCTGTACAGCTGGGTTATGGATGTTGTTGGATTAAGTACGAGGCATTCGTTTTAAACGCTTCAGAATTCGTTTTTTTTTAACCCAGTTGTATCTTAGAACAATAGAATCTATATATATGTCATTATGCATGTCATGCTTGTTCGATTACATTGTTAGTATAACACAATAAACGGCGGTTTCATCCTGCTTGTGGCTAGGCTGTTTTGTAATATACTGGCGCTTTCCTGTAGAATCTCATTTCACTTGAGGTATTTATAGGAACTGTGTAACATCTATCTGAAGTCATTCCTGAACAGCCATCGAGTATGTCAACCTAGTCGGTACATAATTTCCCAGGGGCCTCGTTGATTTTTTTAACAAGAGAAGCGACGTCTGCAATCCTCCATTGATCTTTGTATGACTACGAAAGTCCACTTGTCTACACTGTTAAACGTGTACAATACAGACGGAAAGATGTTAGCAGGACGATTCCTTTATTCCTTTATGGGATAGAAATATCAGACGCATTCTTGATTCTTTTATTATATATTACGCCTGTCCTGACTTATCTCCTAAACACTTTATATAACATTCATTTGTCATGCAAAAATATGATGCTATAATAGGTTTGGAGAAACGTATAAAAGACTTGTTAAGAAAAAACGACAGGAGACATTGAAACATGTTTGTGGTAAGTGTTACTATATAGTAGCCTACGTACCTTACGATCAAAGCAGGGTACACCGATCATTTACTAAAAAACTTTTATTTATTTTAGTTTCAATAGTTGACCAATCGACCATCTAACATGCATCATTATTCGTGTTACTGAACTATTAATGTTAAAATGATGACACTAGAACTTGAAAAATACAGAAGTTAAATAAGCTCTCAATCAACAATTCTCTGTGTAAACGATTTTTTTTGAATATTTAATCTTAAATGCGATTTGTACATATAAGAGTTATGTCCACGCGTGGATGAACTTTCCCTGATATTAAATATGCTGGATACTTTATAGACATATTTCCCAGACAATGTCTGTGTTGTGTAAGCGACGTTGCAAAAGACCACGTGACCTATTTAACCGCCTTTGTCTTCCCATTTTTAGGTCTCTGTTTACTGTAAAATATTTGCGATCTACACGTTTCTGTGTAAAATTACTATTTTACAGATACTAACAGCTACAATTGTACCGGTTTAATACTAGTTTAACCGAAAGTGTTTGAAATATTGGATTGACTTACAGCCAACAATAAACCTCTTGTGTTTTTCTACATGTACAATTTCTGGGAATAGATAGACTTCATCGTCGTATAATGTGCCTAATACAAGCCCTTGTCAAATCCGGATTTTTCTTTACATCTCCTGCTCAATTGTCATCGGAGAAACCAATACTGTTATAACCCCAATGGCTGTAAATTTCACTGTACACCTTTAAGGTAGGTGACGATTAATTTTTTACAATCCTAACGTTTCAGTCACAATTCTACCGACAGAAACCTAAGAATGTTTTTTGAACCCCACTCAATCCCAATTCTGCATATAATGTCAAAATTAGTCGCCTCAATCAAAATTGACATAATTTTAGATGCTAAAGAAAAATATTATGCCATAGAAATAATATTAGATTCCCTTTATATTAGCTTTTCATGTCACTGTGAATTTTCCATTTTCATAATCTGTTCTAGGAATCAGGATTTTTCTTGACCGCAGGTCTTTACACGTGTACGGATTATAAAACGCAAACACGTGAGAGCACAAGAGCTTAGATCCCTGAAAAGTGCCGCTAACCCGTCACCATAACTTAGATTGACAGAATACCGTATAGTTTTGTAAGTGATAACGTTGAAACGAAGGATAACAACCTTTATTTTACTTGATGAATTATTATAGAATTCTATGTAACCAATCCAATCGCTCACGACGGTTTGACAACAAACCAACTATACACCCCCTGATCGCCTCTGACGGCATGGCAATGATAGAGGGCAGGACACTGACCGACACGAAGGCAATGGTGGCTCAAATAGGGATTGCTTTAGCTGCAGTAGCTGTTTGATCTCATTTGTTTCAAATTTTCTTCCTCGCGAAATCAGTTTGACAAATAGTTATTCCTCCTCAACTGTCACGGCTGTTTGTTTGGTACCACCTCGCTCCTGTGATGTGGGTGTGAGATCCACTCCGAGCGCGTGAATCTGAAGCCTGAAATCGACATCCCTGATGTAGACAGCACAGCGATCTGTCACACAGCCTACTTGTAAGCTGGTCGGATCGTAGAGATGTAGATTGAAACTGATAGATTGTCCCTCGAGAGTACACACCACTTTCTGGATGGCCTCGTCTACAGTTAATGCTCATCAACTGGATAGATTGAACAGCATATCTGTAAATATTGAGTACAAAATAATAAATTGTCACATCAACTTCGTGTAACATCAAGATAAGCCATCAGAGGGAATTTTAGATAATCAAGTAAGTTATTGACAGGGCGAATATGACAGTTCCTACTTGACGAGATATTAGTCTCATATAGACGGCCTCCGGAGGTTTAGGTGAGCGATACAGGCCCTCTGTGCCTCTCGTTTGATTAGTTGTTGCTATATCACGCGATGAAACTCGGGAAATCTGCTTATGGTGAAAGTAATGGTATGGTCGTTATCAGTTTATAAAAACATTGATGATTAAACGATTTCACTTGATACAACAGTTTGGAATACTTGACTACACAGCAATATGAATGTACTCGCGCAGAGAGACACCAACACCACATCATCTAATTACAAATAGGAAAACACAACGCTACAGAACCTGGGTTGATTACACAAAAACTATTAGTTTATAATTTCAGTTTTGTTCAAGCCTTTCTGTTCCCCGCCTTGTTGCCGCATTTCTGCTGGTGAATGATTTGGAGTCATAGTTTTGAACAAGATAGCTGCATATCTAAACGAGTTTGGCACAATCTGTTCGTGTGGTGTAGCCTGAACATCAGGGGGATGGT